TTCCCACACGAGGGCTGAGACGCTCCCACCCTTTAAAGCTCTGGGCTGCGTCACACTGCCTGGCTCACTGGCCTCTGGGCAAGTTGTTACAAGCAGAGGGTCACAAGCTACTAACCCTTTCTTGCATTTGTTAGTTGTGAAGGGGACATGAGAAAGCCTGGGGAGGGTAGATAGCAGATAGAAATCAACTTCCAGGTCATCTAACAGAGCTTGCTTAAATACAAACTACAATCTCACCAAGGGAAGGGCAGCTTTTTTCACATTACTTCAGGCTGCAGAACCATTTTTAAAGAAATGTTTGTGGCCAGTGACAGCAATATAAGCCTATACTTAAACTCTAATGGAATAGGCACAACTTTTCATTGCCAATAATTCTATCTTTTAAAAATCTTGAAAGAGGAGTTTACACCTGTGTGCATCCATTCACACAATTGGTCCCTGAAGGAGCTGATGAATCAGACTCTAGTCCTTAAAAATTTATACAATAGTATAACTCATTATCTTTAAAGGTTATTGTTGGGTAATGCATCACATAATTGTGGACTGGGAAACATGGCTCTCCAGATACTGCTGGAGTCTTAATTAGTTAGTATAGCCAATAGGCCAATAGGGTATGCAAGCCACTATCCTGGCGACTTTGTTTTGCCCATTTCTGTCATACATTCTCAATATTAATTGAAAAACATGGCAGGGAGGAACTGATGCCAAACAGCTAATTTTAACTGACAATTGTCCATTTATATATTCTTTTATGTACTTGGAAACTCATATCCAACAACATTGTTAAACCCACTGGGAGAATTGTCTATGTGTACTGTATTTATCTATTGCACCTTCTCCCAGGGCAGGTTAGTCCTCTAGATTCAACTGTCTCATTAAAAAAAATGTATTTTCAATTATCTCCTCCAATAGCTAAACTAGCTCTATAGAAATTAACAGCTGAGACCTAGGGAGAAATCTAAAGGATCCAAACCAGGCTTTCAAGGGCAGCATTGTGCTTTATAGCTATTTAAGCCATGTCATTTTAATGAGGAAGGAAATAATTCAAGTAGTTTAGGGGGAACAGCAATAGAAGCAGAGGAAGCAAACTGTGCCGTGTTTCAGAAATATAATATAAATGAAAAGGTTAAGGTTTAAATAGCATATGCAACTTCTAGAATCATAGAATTTTAGAATTGGTTTCCTTCAAGGTCATCTATTTCCACCTCCATTATGTCTGATTCCCCAACTTCTGCTGGAATACCTGAAATATTTTGTTCCCTTAGGTCTTACTTTTTTCTTCTTCCGTTGTTTGCTTGCTAGTAAAAAGCTTCATCTGTGCAATACATGTTCTTAGAATGAATTATAGCATGAGCAGAACATGTCATAACTTCAATCTCTGAACGTTCCAACCATGTTAATGCAAGCAGTGATGGGACTTCCAATTCTAGACTGCACAAGTCCAGATGACCAAAAGTTGGTAGCAGAGAATTAGGGTTTCCTATAACTGCACTGCTATCTAATAGTCAACTGGATTTTTGCAAACCAGAAAGTTAAGCTAAACCAATTAGGATTTTTACCATTTGTCAATTGTACAAATCAGCTTTCTCCAACACAGCCAATTTGGAGATGATGCCAGCTAGAGCCATCTGGAGTGCCACAGGTGGGGTGAGATTAATACAAGCTGTTTTCCAGAAAATACTGCCATGTGCTTTAACAACTTAGCTATCCTTTGTGTCAGTGACCTCCAAGGTCCCTTCCAACATCATCATCATCATCATCATCATCATCATCATCATCATCATCATCATCATCATCATTATTATTATTATTATTATTATTATTATTATTATTATTATTATTATTATTATTATTATTATTATTATTATTATTATCAGCCTGTTTAATTTTGCTTTATGAAGTGCAATGCATGAACATACTCATAATATCTTAGTATGATGTACAAGCCAAACTATTATGGCATGTTCAACAAATCATGATTTTAAAACATTCTAACTTAGTGTTCTATGGTTGCAATAGTAGGATAAAGACTTTTTTTAATATATGTATAAAGACTTGATTTTAGGAGCAAGATTTTTGTTCAAAGATGATTCATTAACCTGGTCAATCTTTCATGTCTAAATAATCCCCCCCATTTGTTACTTAAGTTACTCTTAAGTGACATTTTAAATATGGCAATCTATATATCTATCTCATGAAACTTCCAAATTTCCAATATGGGACGAAGTAGAAGTTGTTTTGTTGAGATTCATGTCTCCACTTTCTAACCTCAGAAAGACTCCAGAACCTATCAAAGAAGCTATTAAAAGCTGCTCTTGGTTTGCTTTTCCTCACTAACACTAATGATGCCAATGCTGGTGGAACTAAGGCTAGGGTAAGTGAGGAAATGAAAACTAGCATTAGCTTCCCTAATGTTAGCGAAAAAAGAAAAAAACTCTCATTTTCATTACCTCACTAATGCTAGCCTTAGGTCTGCCAGTGCCACCATCAATAGTGTTAGTGATGAAAAGCAAACCAAGAGGGTTTATTTTTCCTTCGCTAATTCCAGCCTTAGCTTCACCAGCATTATTTGTCATTCAAAAAAGACAGCCACTTATGGGATTGTGCCATGTGGCTCAGCAATGGAGTGGCCTGTCCTCTTTCCCTGCCCTGACCTCCTGAGCTCTGGAGATCTTCAAAAGGTAAGTGTGCAATTGCAATGGTGGGGTGGCAGGGAGGAGTGTGTGGAACACAGTGGGGTGGCAAAGCAAGGGAAGAACTTAGCTATATTTTTTTAAAAAGAGGCCAAATTTAATAGAGTGAATGGTACATGGATATGCTATGTGGGTGTCTGTTTTTGTGTATTTTGTCTCCTGCTGGTCCCATCATAAGCAACAGGCATTCCAAAGCTGCCCTGCTCCTTCTCTCCCTGTTTCATAGGCATACAGAAGGAAAGAAAATTGCCAGGCCATCTCTAGTGCCTCAATGGATAAGGAGCAACTGATGGCCATCAGCCAGTGTGCTGATTGGGGAATTCTGGGAGCTGAAGTCCACACATCTTAAAATTGCCTAGAGTGAAATATACTGCTCTAGACTCGAGGGAACTATGTAATATAAGAAAGATGTTTTTTCAACTTCCTTTAAGGAAGGAGGTGGTATATCCTATGCCTTTTGAATTGTTCCTCCCAGGACCCCAAGATTATGTTTTAAAGGATTTGCTTTTGATGCATAAAACAAGAATCTCCTGGAATGTTTCTTAAAGGATGAACCAATTTCATCTTATATTCAGACGTAACTCTGTGATTAGAATTCCCTTTACTAAATTTGAAAAAAAACCCTCACAGAATTCCAAACTGATATTCGCTGAATAAAGGCTGGAGCAGATTTCTTCAGCATTGCGCGTGAAGGAAAGTAGGAGTCCCTTGTTCGGGGGTGGTTGCATAGGAGTTCTTTTTATACATCAGCGAATGCCCTTTCTCCCCTCCCTCCCACTTTCCAGTTGGACCCAATCAGCATGCATGGCACACACCTCCACACAACAGGTGGTTGGGGTTCAGGAGGTGTTTGCGCTGAACCGTCTGCAGCCCTCTATAACCTCTGCTTACCTCTTCATAGCAAGATGTGCAGTGATGGCTATGGGTAGTTGTGGGCAATACTAAATCAGTCTTAAGATTCCAAACATAGTCAAAATTGTATGGTAAATTGTACCACATTCATTGCTATATTCTTTTGTTGCTGTTTTAATTTTCTTGCCTCAAAATAATACAACACACAAATTAACACAAGTAATACATTAACTTTAATGTGGTTTATTCATTACAATTTTATTGTAATGTCTGGTATTAAAGAAAGCAAGAAACAATAACTAATTCTTAAAAAGCAGGTACCATACTGTATATACCACCTACAATATAAGCTCTTCGGCAGAAAAGCCAAGCCTCTATTTTTCACCAAACTTTCATGATACATGGTGAAAATAAAACCTCAAAATGTCCATACGTTTAATTTTTACAATTGGTTTATCCATAAATGGGACCTTTTTCAATCTATTTGGTTAAAAATTTAAAGGTCGGCTTAGGTGATGGTATTCCATCTGAATTATTTAAAATCCTACAAGATGAGGCTGTTAAAGTGCTGCACTCAACATGCAAGCAAATTTGGAAAACTCAACAATGGCTACAGGACTGGAAAAGATCAGTTTACATTCCAATCCCAAAGAAGGGTAGTGCCAAATAATGTTTAAACTACCATAGAATAGCACTCATTTCACAAGCTAGCAAGGTCATGCTCAAAACCCTACAAGCTAGGCTTCAGCCATATGTGAACAAAGAACTACAGAAGTACAAGCTGGATTTCAAAGAGGCAGGGGAACTAAATTGCCAACATTCACTAGTTTATGGAAAAAGCAAGGGAATTCCAGAAAAACATCTATGTCTGCTTTATTGACTATGCTAATGATTGTGTAGATCACAACAAACTATGTGGTGGGAATACCACACCACCTTACTTGCCTCCTGAGAAACCTATATGTAGTTCAAGAAGCAACAGTTAAAACCAGACATGGCGCAACCGTTTGCTTCAAAATAGGGAAAGGAGGAAGACAAGGTTGAATATAGTCACCCTGGTTATTTTACTTATATGCAGAGTACCTCTTGTGAAATGCTGGGCTGGATGAATCACAAGACGGAATTAAGATTGTGGGAGAAATATCAACAACTCAGATATGCAGATGATACCAGTTTAATGGCATGAAGTGAATTAAAGAGCCTATTGATGAGGGTGAAAGAGGAGAGTGCAAACGTTAGCTTGAAACTCAGCATTAAAAAACTAAGATTGTGGCATCCAGTTCCCATCACTTCCTGGCAAATAGAAGGCAAAGAGGTGGTCCATGGGGTAGCAAAGAGCCGGGCATGACTTAATGACTGAACAACAACACTTAAAGAGTGTCATAGTCATAACTTGGAACAATGAAGAAGGAATCCATCTCAAACCAGCCCCTCCCCTGTTTGCCCCCCTCTCCATTATTCTTGAGGATTTCTTGATTTTTCCTGGGCTTTTATTGCTTGCCTCTTTCCATATCTTAAACCAAAGGAATTCCAGTTGTAGGTGGAGAGATCCTGGGTCCCTTCTAACAGCAATGTCCCTTGCAGCAATGGAACCCCCTTGTTTTTTGTGAGAGGCATCCCTGGCCATAACTGCACTTTATGCTCTTGCCGCTTGCACAATAGGGTTACTGTGGATTTCAGACCTTCTTTGCCAGAGCTGAAGCTCCTTTCAGAACATGGGATGTCATTAGCCCAGTGGACCCAGTTGGCTGTGCCTCTGGAGGGTTTAGCTAGAAAGAATAAAAAAAACTTTATAGAGAGAACATACCTGGAGAAGCATTAAAATGGGGAAAGGGCAGAACTTGTAAAATAACATGTCTGTCTGTCTGTCTGTCTGTCTGTCTGTCTCTCTCTCTCTCTCTCTCTCTCTGTCTATCTCTCTATATCTATATCTATATCATCCACCTATCATCATCTATCATCTGTCTGTCAGTCTATCATCTTCTATTTAAAGTTATCTCCCATCTGTATATCTCAATCTATCTCTCTATCAATCATCTATCTATCTATCTATCTATCTATCTATCTATCTATCTATCTATCTATCTATCTATCTATCTATCTATCTATCTATCTATCTATCTATCATCTATCATCTATCTATCTATCCTCAAATTTATATGGACATCCATCTCACACAAGGTGACTCTGGGGACTGTAAAATAAAACCAACAATTAAAACAGAATATAAAAGCTAGCTTAAAAATGTAAGTAAAAATAAAATTACAAGAGGGTTAAATAAGAATACATGATGTAACCAATGGGCAGGATCTTTGCCACCCATGAATAGGTCTGATGGGGGGGGGAAGGCATGTTTTGAGAGCTTTCCAAAAGGCTAACCTCATCTCAAGGGGGATGATGTTCTAGAGGGTGGGGCACAGCAGAAAAGGCTCATTTCCATTATGATAAAGGAAGTGTCAAATTCAAACCCCTGCCAATTCACAACTGAATTGAAGGTCTAGGAAATTATGAAAAGCATGGATATAAGGCTAAATTGTGTTCTAGATTTGAAGGGAAAAAGATAATTCAAGAGTGCATCTGAGCACACAAATAGCACCCATAGCACTTCTTTGAACAAAATCTTTTTTCTCCCTTGGGCTTTGGTACTAGGTGTCGATGGAACCCAAGACAAGTCTCAGTTTCTTTACAGAGTTGCTGACAGGTGAGCATTCCTCCTACCATGCCTTTAGCATTTTTCATATGTCTTCACGGCTCCAGGATGCAGTGACACAAGGACCACATGTATGTTCTCTAAATATCAGTGAGCATTCTTTTGCAGAGCAATTTCAAATCATTGCTAAGTTTTCAACAGTGTTTTTCCCCCCTCAAGATTCTCCTTGAATCTAATAAGAATCCATCAAGGCTGCCTCTACTTCTTACCTTGAGGCCAGAAGCTCTTTAGAGGATAATAGCTGTCTGCAGGTTTTCCAAACTGAACTCTGAAGAATAACAGGAACATAAGCAAAGAACGTAATAGGTTCATCCTGAAATGCAGCAGATCTGAGATAAAAAATGAAGGAAGCCAGAACAATTTAGACCATGCTTTTCCAAACTGTGCTATATACATTCCTTGGCCAAGTGCAGAGTCCATGGGAGGTGTAAAGAACCTTTTACTTAATTGTAACTAACTTTTCATATCTCTCTCAAACCTATTTTGGCTCGCATCTTCAGTTTTTAGCTAAGCCTTTGTTATACTTTTATCATTCATCTCTACTTATAATAATTTAACTTTTTACAAAAGCATCATTTTCTCTCTCTCTTAACACACATATGGGAAAAAAAGAATTTACTGTGTTTAATTGTCCTTCCTAACTAAAGGATATTACTTAATTGGGAAAATTATTCATCCAAGCAGTTCAGCTGAGTCTAATCATGTTCTCTATATAGGAGGAAGATAGTAATGAATCTGATAAACACTATTGCTTGAAAACATGATCGTTTTGAAATATTCCATGACTTAGAACTGAAAGTCTGCACACAAAAATTATTTTTTATAAAAACATTGGTATAGACATCAGGCATTCATACATCCTTTATTATAAAGGACAGTCCTTTATTTCAGAAAGCTGTCCTTTAGATTTTTTTTTTTCAAAAACTCACTTTAGATCTTTGGTCTTTTAAATGTTATTGTACAAATGGTACCATTTAATGCACAATCTTTCACATTCTTGTGAAAAATACAGAAACTAACTTGTCTTTTTAAAATAATTCATACATACTGTTTGATTATATATTTTTTGTTAGAATATGCATTTTTTTAAAAAGTGTCTTGGTTTTGCTCTTACATTTTCTTTTGTAAAGCAGTTATAAAAAACTACATTTTTTATCCTTATGAATCTCTTTTAGATTTTCCCTCCTTTTCAGGTTTGTCCTTTATTTTTTTCAAGAAATATGGCCACTGTACAGAAAAAAATTAGTAGAGTATATCTAAAATAATGTTTGAAAGAAAAATAATGTTATCTCAGTTCCAGTTTAATATGGCTCAGAATCATTGGTAAAAAGCAAGCTCTGTGTGCACGGTGCATGCATGTTTGTTTGTGTTTGTGTGTGTGCGTGAACTGAATATAAAATTAAACTCAGGTTTCCAATCTTCTGGCTAAGTTCCACTGTCAATCTGCTTGACAGCTGGTTCATTTCCTGTTGCTTCGGTTGCTCAATCATACAAACATAACATCTCTGCTTTGCACTCCTACAGATTTACTACTTTTAATTATTACTAATTGTAGCTACAGCTCTTAATTTAAGTCTAATTTATTATTACACAATTAATGGTCTGTCTCCAAACAGAAATTCCACTGCAGGGCAAAAATAGTTATTTACAAATGTAACATAATAAGGTTTTTAAAAAAATGCATTCACAATGCAAGAACCTTACACTGACTGGCATATTATTGTGGATCAAGACCTACTATTCTCTTTCTCTCCTTCAATCTCTGTGATTTATTAATGCCTTAAAGTACAAAATGCAGCTGTGGATCAGAAAATCATTTGGGATCATGGGTGGAAGCCTGGCCCATGCACATCTGGAAAGAAGAAGCCATGGTGCAGCTGAGAAGGCAGAATTTCTAGACAGCTTCCCCATCTAATGTTTTGCCAAGGCTCCCCATACTTTGTAGAATTTGCCTGACCAGTGAGGATCAAAGAATGTTGTTGGAAAAAAATATGTTTTGAGACCAGTTTTCAAACTTGTAGAGCAGAAAACATTTATAACTGGCTATTATGAAGACAAGCAGACGCGGAGCATACACAGAGAGAAATTTTAATTAGAGTGAATTAAATGTGATTTGAAAGAGAGGAATCGTTACTCAGCATACAAACATTCATTCCAGTTCCACCACTAATGAACAGGTGTTTTCCAAATCCAGCTAACCCTGCATGGCCAGAGGCAAAAGGAAGACTAAAGTTGCAGGTATGAGTAAATACATACTGTATTAAGTGCTTCTACTTCAAAGTTCTTTTCCCCCTTAAACAGCAACAGCAAGACCATTTTTAAAAATCACAGTCTGCCTGCAATTTAAAACAACAGTCCTAACCCTACAACATTTTCAAAAAACTTTCCAGTTGATAAAAATGCATTTGAGACTAGGAAGGAGAGGTATATGATGCAGAGTATCTACTTGAAATATGACAGTGGAGCCAAAACTATGAACATTTCCTCCAGAATCCCATTTAATGCACTGGAACAAACTTTTGAATAAATATACGCAATTCTCTAACATAATTTGCAACCATGTTGTCTTTAGTGGATTTAGTCAAAGATAAATGTTTGTATAGGTTTGCCACCCCACCCCCCCAATGGCTTCAATATCCTTAGCTTTACTTACCTCAGTTTTTTCTGCAATGTTCAGGCCCAAAGTCTTGATCTCTTGGCAAAAGATAAAATGATCTCTGCTGTAGCTCTCATCTCATTCTTAAGGCCAGGGTCTGAATTATTGAATGCCCTTACTGGTGACGTCAGCAAAGATGGACTCACCTCTAGTTTATATCTTTTAATTTCCCTGCCTAAACAGCTTTATTGTGTCTTGAAGGGTAGACCCAACTATTTCCTTAAGCATTGTTTCATTAAGCCGTCTTCTCTTTCTTTTCTTCAATCAGATCAAAATAATTCTGCTTTCTTTTTCTTTGCAACCAAGACAGAATGATTGGTATAAATAGGCTGGATTCAATTTGTTCTATAGCATTGAAATTATTAGCAACAAAGAAGATGAGGATACTGCCATTTGCTCTGATTTAAATGCTCCCTCCTCCTTCATTTCTAATCACTGAATAAGGTACCAAGCAACTAACTGCTAGATCTGTAGCCTGCATTTTGGAAGAGTATAGAATACACAGAGATCTCTCAAAATGGGATGTGTGGGGTGTGTATCCTCCTGTATACCGAGGTGAGGTTATGGTGCATGAGGGTAGGAGTTTGATTGTGTGGTTGTGCCTGCCCGCTTGACTTTTTTGATGCCCCTGAAGACCTTCTGAGGGTATATCCATACAATTTCCACACTGTGAAAATTGGGAACAAAGATCTTACTGTTGAATTATCTTGTGAGCTAACACATACAGAGATTGAGATGACATTTAATTAATTTACTTTTACAATTTAGCATTGTTAAAAACAAAAAATATTTGTATCAAAATCTATGGACATTCTCAACCATCCAGGTCATAGTTGCCTCAAAGGTACTTTTCAAAAGGCAACTGGAATTTCTTGGGTTTTCTGTTGAAAATGTTTCACTTCTTATCGAAGAAGCTTCTTCAGTTCCACTCAGTTCATATCAAAGATCACAAAGTTGCACTGGAGATCAAATATTGTGTTGATACATAGAATGTATTGCAAAATGTACATTATACAAAAACTGTCCCTTGCATCATTTTTGTCATAAAATTTGAAACAGGAAACCCCAAATAATATTTGTACCCCTACATTTTCTCATTGAACTTGCCTACAGAAAAAAGAATAGCAAAAATATGCCAGGGAAATGGACATATTTAAATGTTCTATTATACTCTACTTTTAATTTTTTTTCTACTAAATGACTATTTCTAATTTTATCTGCCCAAGTCCTCCTCTTCTTTTATTCTATTGTCTCTTTTGGATAGAGATTGTTAAGAACTGAAGATGAGATAAATTATTGGCCTTGGGGTGGTATTGCTGGAGACTGCTCACTGCATCCATGAGCTGATTTTTATTGCTAATGCAAGGGAAAGAGGAGAGAGAGGGGGGGGGGAGAGGAAACATTCTTCATATTCTGCCTCTGAGTTGGTTCCTCACCTGGCCTATTATTAATACATGGGATCTTTATATTTTAAGGCAGAAAGGGATCTTACTGTTTGCCGTTCTCCTTCTTCCTGTAGTTTAGATAAAAGCAAGGCTTTTCTATTAGTTATTTTCTTTTTAGTTTTCTAGTTAGATTTGTGGAGTCTTTGATGCTCTTGGTTGTTTGCAAATGTTTCATTACCCAACCAGGTAATATCAGCAATGCTAGTAAGTTTGGGATTTTCTAGCTGTTTATAAATAGTTGCTTGCCCTTCCAGTGTTAGTAGGGTGTAGTTTTTTTCTCCTTGGTAATTCCATGATTAGGGTATAGGTAGTCCTCGACTTATGACTAATCAAAGTTCCAATAGACTTCCATGTGTGTGTGGGGATCTTACAACCTAGATTCAAAATTCTCCCAATCATTCCCCCGATCACATGACTGCACATTGGGCCCTTGGTGTCTGGGCCACATCTGCAGCCATTTGCAGTGTCCCCTGGTCATGTGACTGTGTTTTATGATGGCTTTGCCAAAAGCTGGCATTTACTTCCGGTTTTCAGGAAATTTGGCCCGTGGCAAGCTTTGGTTTGCTTAACAGTTGTGTCATTTTTTAAACTATTTTCTAACACTGGCTCCTGCTAAACCCCAAACTCCAAAATGAAATGTCTACATTCAACCGCCCTTAGTTTTAGCAAACTGCTTTGCTCATTTTTGTCATTGTGCTTCGAAAACTTGCAGAATTTGTTTGACCAGTCTATAAATAGGATGAACCTGGCACTGATACATCACATCCAGCAAAACAAACTAGCATTTTTCCACTTCACTGCAATTGCTTGAATATTGAAGATCCCATTCAGGTATATTTCTGCAACCAAGTTGACATGTCCTAAATGCTGGATGTTTTGCTGTCACGTCCTTGTGACACAATGTGTCATACTTCCAGGTACTGAAGATCATTGAGGTGTGTTTTTTTATATTTAAAAGATGCAGCCTAGTCACAATTGAGTATGTATAAACCAGCATCAGAAGGCAGAAACCCCATTACAATCACACCTTTTACAAGGAATGATTCTACCAATTACCCTATACATTTCTGAAAGTGATCCTATGTAGTATTTAAATCAGCACTAAATAACATGCACTACTGAGGTAGCAGGCTAATCCTAAAAAATGTCTGTGCTTGTAAGAAGGGAAGTTGTCTCTGGTAACAAGTCATTCATTCAAGTTACACTGCAGAGCTGGTGTCTCCAAATTTCTGAAACAGCTGCAACAAGAAAAATTACTAATTATTTTACTAATAATTTTATAAAGAATTATATGATGGAATGAAAATTACAATTACTGGGATAAAAGAACAAAGATATATGACATATTAAACTTCATTCAATTAATGATCACATTCCTAAGATCATTGTTTTCAGTGGGAATGATATTGAATGGTACTGGGTTTATGTTATAAACCATCAATGATAAACATAAAGCTATGAATTCATCTCTACCAGCATTATCAGCGAGGTCTTGAGGCCCTTTCAAAATACCAGCAGAGTGGGAACCATTCAATCTTAGGAGGAACCTCATTCCAAAAGGCAGATGCTGCAAAAGAGAAGGTGCCCCTCTGGGGTCTGGATAGATGACATTGCTTAATTGAAGGAACTCATAATATGCCAACTGTGCCAGACTGAATTGGCTAGTCCAATATTGTGGGAGAGAGGCACGATATTGTGCCTATCTCCAAGTAACCAGTACCTAGAATCACATCTGGAAGCAAACTGGCAACCATTACAGCTCACAAAGCAGAAGTGTTACATGAGCATATTGAGCTACCCATGGTGCTGCATTCCAGACTAGTTGAAGCTTACAGATAGTCTTCAAGGGCAGACCGACATAGAATGCATTGCTGTAGTCAGCTTATGGAGTGACCAGGGCACGAGTGACTGTTTCAGTAATATCTCCTACTGTACATTTAAGGCCAACTTTGCTCAATGATCTCTATCCAGATGTGTTGGAATGAATCTCCCAGACTCCTCAACTAAATAAGCTAAAGACATAGACAATGTGTCAACAGGGGCCCATGCAAGAGGGCAGGCTGCTTAGAGCAGGGGTCTGCAACCTTGACAACTTTAAGACTTGTGGACTTCAGTCCACAAGTCTTAAAGTTGTCAAGGTTGCAGACCCCTGGCTTAGAGGCTGCAGCACTTTGTTCAGCCCAATCCTATTTCTCATGGGATCACCCCAGCTTTTCATTACCTTGTTCAAAAATGAGACATTCACCAGTGATCCCAGAAATCCAAAAGCAATTGGAAAAAAGCTCCTAAAGAAAAAAGAAAAAAGTTAATTACTGATGAAAATAATCAACTGCAAATGAACTTGAGATCAAAATCAGATGTGACACTATTAATATTTTTTGTTGAAAGTTAAAACTACCCACCCCTATCTCACCAACATGATTCTGGGCAGCTATCAGAATTAAAAGACAATATAAGCACAATGTATATTAAAAAATAAACACACCAACCCCAGTTGATTAAGACAGAGAAGCTATCAAATTCACAAATAACATGGGTTTGATTATGTATAATGTTACAGAATATATGTAGTTCCAGATTGGATTATATAAATTCTTAGACCTTGGTTTTACATTTGCCGATGATTATTTTTCCTACTTTTTTCAGATATCCCTAATCTTTTGTAGTGTTCTTTTGGCTTAATTGGCAACCCTGGAGGTGGCAGTGTGGGCCCTCAATGCCCAATATCCATGGCTAGAGAACAAACAGCTCTCCCTTGCAATCCCTGTCCTTCTTCCAGGAACTGTTACTTCCACTCCATTCTTTTGACTGAAAACCAAGCTCAGAGAATTAGTACAACCCAAAACTTTTACAAACATGTTTTCCCATAGAAAATGCAATGGTTGAGGAGGATTGATCACCTGAAGAGATTAATGAAACCATAGGTCTCTAGTAGCATGCCTAGTAGAGGCCACCGAAGCAGAACAATGATTATGCCTCCGAGAAAGAAACTGGTTCCTTTCAGTTTCTCCTTTTGGAAGAAGAATCCAAAAGTTCTTCTTAGTCCTATTATAACAGCCAAGCCACACAGGAACAAGACCTAAGGAAGCAAAGAATATATTTGAGGATTCATTGGAATGTAGCTAGAATAGCAAACTTTATATAATATAGTATTTTATGGAAAAATAATGGAGGCTGAATCCTATATATAGTTGGGACCAATTTTATATTCTGTTTGACCAAACTATCTTATATTGTTGAGTAGGAAAGAGAACATTGGTTCTATTTTTTCTATTATTTTTTTTAAAAAAAATTTTTTAAAGAGGAAAGGTGGCATGACAGCTTCACAGGTCTCCCTGTATAGCAACTGTTCATTTAAAAAAAGAATTCAAATAAAAAGGTCTACTAGAAATGTATATCTGCTGATGCTACCTTAAAGTGCAATTGAATTGATCTGAGCTGGGAATATTTGCATGCTATTCCCTCTCAGAGTAGAGTAGAGTAGAGTAGAGTAGAGTAGAGTAGAGAAGAGAAGAGAAGAGAAGAGAAGAGAAGAGAAGAGAAGAGAAGAGAAGAGCTGGGATGAAATTGACAAGACTTTTATCATTTTTGCCCTTCTCTTAGGCGGAGATCAACCAATACGCAAAATGTCAGAAAATGCTTTTATTTTTTTCTGCAGAAATTGATTCATGAATGGATGGATGAAGTAACATCTTCTCTCTTTATGTAGGGTGGATGTGAAAGTTTTTTGTTGCACCAGTATTCTCTCCCCACCTTCCCCAGTCCAGTTCACAGTTCAGTGTCCTATTTCTGATGCCTACCTTTAGAATCTGACTTTTTACCATGGTAACAGATGTTGAATCATGATTGATATGGGAAGCTACATATGTTCTATGTTTTGAAACAGTGTCACCCTGCAGCCATTCTTACATTTTTTATATATTTCTATTAAACCATGCACAATTTTAAACAGAATTCTGTAACGGTTAAAATGGCTAATTCTGATCTGGCAGTCAAAGCTCATGTGCCTGATTGATTAAAAAAATCAGTTTATAAATAAATGCACTTATCCTTAAAGCATAAAAGTATATGAGTGCAAGTTCTATGTAAACAGGCTGAGCAAAACTGAAAGTTTTTTTTAATAAATCTGCCTATTATTTTATCATACTCACTGCTTATTATTTCTTTTTGCACAAAGTATTTGATACTTTTTAAAAAAACTTACATTTCCAAAGGCCAGAAGCACCGAATCCATGTACAACAATACACCAAACAGGAGGAAGAATATCCCAAAGCCAACAAGCCCAACACCAATTTCTACAATAGATGAAATTGGTACCATCAAAATCACAGCAATCTTAAGGGATCACCTAATTGAGGAGAGCCAGGATCACATGAAATTTAGCAGAAGGAAAAGATTTTGGTGCTCAGGATAGCTGAAGGACTGCTGGCTCATTTCAGGTTAAAATAAAAGTCTGAAGTACAATAGTGGCCTCAACATAAAATTCAACCCTGTTTGACATCGGCCAAATTTCATTCTATTCCTCTGATGATTCAGGTTAGATGCCATCCTTCATCTCTCTCATTCTAATTTCTGTCCCTAAAGCAGTGGTTCTCAACCTTTTTAATGCCGCGACCCCAACCGGTCGTAAGTCGAGGACTAAACCGGTCGTAAGTCGAGGACTACCCAACCGGTCGTAAGTTGAGGACTTTCCCTGCCCGGGAGCGCCACGCATGCGTGGTTCTGCCCCCTGCGCCGGCTGAGGCGTAGCTGGCAAGTGGCAGAGACGGAGCAGGCCGACCACCAGCTGGCCCAGCCCAAGGGAGGTAAGGCACCCGCCGGAAAAGGGGGAAAAATGGCGGACAAAAAAAATGGCGGAAAAAAAATGGCGGACAGCCTTGCTTGGCGACCCCCGTGAAATGGTCGATCGACCCCAAATGGGGTCCCGACCCACAGGTTGAGAACCACTGCCCTAAAGTCTTTAGGCATAGGATTTTTTTTTCATTTGCCTAGCCGTTATAGGATATAGATCAGTTTCTTTCACATCTTTCCAAAACCTTTTCAACCAGAAAACTTGATCCCGTAAGAATATCAGTTGGATCTTTGAAACCAGCTTCTAATTTGGTGCAGATCCAAAATGAACCAACTTTAATTACTAAGTTTGGAATGATGAACCTTAACACAAAATATTATAAACCTTTCTTGTTACTTGTTTTCTTTTACCCAGAGAAACTCCTTTTAAGCATCTTGAAATATTTCTGGTGTGAATCAATGTCAGTGCATGGTTTTGCTTCTCACATTGCTTTATACTTAAATTAGTTTACCTTAGCTTTGCTCAACCTGGTGGTAACCTGTAGTTGTATTGGACCACAACACTCAGAGTTCCTAGTTAGCCACAGCTGATATACATATTATTAGCAATCGTGGGAGGATTATTTTTTGGTGACCGTTTAATACAGTCTGTAATGTCTGTCGGTTATGACCCTACAGCATCTTCTTAGGAACACATTTCAGGTTAGACTAAATCACACTGCTGAGAGATCACCAGTGCCAATTAGAGATATTATGAAGTTATCTGACTTGTCCCCTGGGACCAGAAGCAAGTAGATTTACTTAGATTGTTTCCCATAAGCAAATTTGTAATAAATGTGCCAACTGAGCAATCAATAGTAACACAATTTTAAAGAGGTCTGAGCTTTCAAACAGATTAACTTTGATTATATTTTCAGAGGGAAACAATGACATATTGCTGAAATATGATAACAAAACCCTATCTGCTAAGTTCATACTCACTCTGAAGTTCTGTAATTTCCAACATATTTGCTACTGAAGGCTTAGAAAGGATTGGCTGTCAAGACCTCCATGTATTTCCCAGTTAGTGAACCTTGAAAAGACCTTTAGCCCTTACTGCATCATCCTGCAAATTATTAACCTCTGTGCAATGGAGACTTCATTGAACTATCATTATAGATCTTACAAGGTGAGCAGTGTTGTTACAATCATATAGTTTGTATTTCCTGTACTCCTGGATCTGCAAAAGGAAACAGATAGTGGCACCTAGTAACTGCCTGTAGCTGTGCTTAACAAGACATTTCCAGAATAATCCTGCAAAAAGTAACACTACTTGTGCAAGTATTTGTATGGTTTAATATATCGAGTACTCCCCCCCCACCATCCCATTAGCCCTGGCTTTATTTTTGTTTTCCTTCAAGACCTGTTATCATTACTTCCTTTTTGTGGTCAGAAAGCAAGCTGTAGGATGGTTTGGATCCTACCTTGCAGAGGACGGTCATCTAATATAGTGTTTCTCAATCATGGCAACGTTAACCCCTGAGGACTTCAGTGCTGGCTGGGGAATTCTGTTGAAGTTGAAGTTAATAGAATTTAAAGTTGGTAAGGTTGAGAAAAGCTTCTCTGACAGAATGATTATCAGAAGACAGATTCTCCTTTAAAAGTGACCTCTGCCTGACAGGCTATCAGTGTAATATGAAACATAAAAGCTAATTGGGTGACTTTGGGCCAGTCACATTCTCTCAGCCCAACCTACCTCACAGGGTTGTTGTGGGGAAAAATAGGAGGAGGGAGGTGGGTTGGATTTGTTCACGACTTGAGTTATTTGTAAAATAATAATGGTGGGACACATAAATCAACCAACCAACCAGCCTTAAGAAAGAGAAAGCAAAACCAGAGGTACAGAGTAACAACCAATTAGTCCCTGTTGTGATATGATCCACAGGATATTTAAGTAGAATTTCAATTTCTAAATGTGATTCTATTCCCACAAGTAGTATATGCCACTTTAACACAAATCTATATATTCTTTTGTCTAACTTTTTGTGAATCATTATTTCTTTTATTAAAAAATAAAAATTAAATGTACAATCCAATGAATGATAAATTGCTAGATAGCAGTTGCAAATGCATATTTTAGGAAGGGAGTCCTCAAAAAACAGGGAACAAGTAAACACCAGAAAAAGCCTTTTTTTAAAAAAAAACTAGGGAACAAGATGGGATATTGAGATTCTGATTATCTGATAGAAATTGTTTCATGTTAGCATTTTGCTATTTTTCTCTCTTCTATATAAATATCATATTTTTCCCCTCTCCAATGTACTTCAGGAACATTTCCTTTTAGTATACAGATATATTGTTATAAAAAAATAAGTTTCAGTTCTTGACCAGGCAATCAGCACAAAGCATCATTATACAACTAATTAAATGACCAGGGACATCTACATCATCTACGTGTGAGTCATAGAACATATTTTTATAGGGAAGAAGATGCATCATATTAATACTTACTAAATAGCTAATGCAGGAAAACAAATGACTCATGCAGAACATTATATACATGAAATGTATAGTCATAATTGTTTCTAAAAATGGTTTCTTGTATTAATTTCATATATTATTACTAGATATATTTGAGTAAAAACTGTACTATAGGATGATAATGGTTTCATCATCCATAGTAATTTAACTTCAGAGCCTCACTTCCTTTATAACAGATAAAGTATGGTTTCTACATTTAGCTACGGTACTCAAGGAGGCTCTCATCCTTGAATACTGATAGGATTTATTGTGAGTGCAACTATATATGTATTTACTGGCATATCATTAAAAGATGAAAACCCATGATCTATATTCCTTCTTGCTCATTTTATGACTTTATTGGTGGTTTATTTTTTTTGGGGGGGAGACAGTTTATTCTTTATCTTTATGCAACTGTACCATGGAGATATAAGCCTCCAGGAGTCCCTCAACTGCAGTGAGTGAAAAGTAATTCAATAGTAAATAAATGTAGCTGTACATATTCAGCTGAAATATATAGAAATATAGAGAATAGTATACCTTTCTATCCCGCCTTTTCCTAGGTCTTACATATTAAAAAAAGAGAAGCACACACAGTCTAGTTATAAACCATCCATTTTTTTATTTATTTGCTTTATACAAACTTGCAAGGTACAAATGCATTTATTTTGTTTTGTTTTTCTTGCGCGTGTTGGTATTATTATTATTTTTTTGTTTTGAGCAGGAGGACCTTTTAAAGTAACTACACCTAGAACAAATGTTGCAGGAAAGAATATTAAGTAAGCCACTGTGGATTTAATTATGGAAAGATTATCCCTTGGTCTGGTGTGAAGAAACCCCAAGTCACCAACATATTGTTTTCAATCACAGAACAGCTAATTTTTATAATTGTCATAATCTAAGGTCACTTTTATACAAAAAGAAAGAAAAAGAAAGAAAGACATTAACATCACATTGCTTCTTTGATAATTTTAACATCTAACACAAGTTTTTTTTTCTCTCCAAATAATGTGCATAAATAATGCAGTATTTATTGGTTGCAGGTGCTGCTGGTATATGAACATTTTATTAGAAAGGAACACACATGCACATGTACGCAAAAAATAAAACATGTTAAAAACAGAGTTCTACAATACTGCGAAACTGTGACCTAAATGTGCTCTGCTGAGAACTTAGAGCAATGTTTCTCATCCTTGGCAGCTGAAAGACACATGGACTTCAGCTCCCGGAATTCCCTAGCCAGTTATGGGAAAGCCAGCTCTGCTGGCTGGGAAATTCTGAAAGTTGAACTTCACACATCTACAAGTTACCAAGCTTGAGAAATATTGATTGAAAGCCTCAGAATGCTTAAAGTGACATTGGCAATAATCAGTTACAATCCTACCTTGCTATGAATTGAACAGAGGACTTGAGAAGGGTAAGATAATGCTTTTTTATTTATTTATGTCATTTTAGTGCTTTCCATAATAGCAAAAAAAAAGGTGCCTGTTTTATATGTAGGAAAGGAGAAAAGGTGATTTGAGAAGGGATTTGCACTTCCTTGACAGAAAAAAATCAGCTGAGCTGAGATTCCAAAATGTAATACCATCTTTACATTTCCCTCTGTACCCTAAAACAGAGTTCCCCAACCTTTTCGGGTTGGTGGCCCGGAGGGGGGGAGGGAGAAAGAGAGGATAGTTTTGTGGGAGGGGCAGGAGAGTGCATGAGCACCCATTGCTTGTGCGAGTGGGGTCGAGAGCACCCGTGACACTCATGCGAGTGATGCTCTGAGCGCTCGCACAAATGGGGCCCCAAGCGCCCACGATGCTGATGTAAGTGGGGCTGTGCACGCGCAAACACATGTGAACACCAGCCAGCCACTCACTTGGCCCGGTTGTGAATAGGCCCTGGACCGGTAGTGGGCCATGGGCCACAGGCTGGGGACCCCTGCCCTAAAATATTGGTGGAATGATTTTCTTTCGAGATGGTTGCCATGTATATCAAGCAGCTGCACAAGTAGGACCACTACCTCCGAATCTTCAAAAGAGGTAGAATAAGGAGCCACTCTCTAAATTAAGAGAGGGACAAATCTAAATAGATAATCCTTCACATAGGCTAACTAAGACCTTTCCTCAGCTCTTACTTCATCTCTCTATTAAGCTACTAGCATTTGGAATGGGTCAATCACAGCTAGGAAAAATGTACCGACTGAAAAATGTACCTTTCTCCCACTAGATTGGACATGCGGAGGTAAATACAGCAGCTTAGAGAGCAATTGTGATTGAAGAGAGGAAAATAAAACAATTGTCTTGCAGGGATTTCTCTCTGCTAGCGACACCAAAATGAACAAATCTGAACAAAAGGGAGGTAAAAAATAAGTGGCATCAACATTTCAAAGCCACCTCTATTGCAAATGATCCCAGTGGGATAGCTGTATGCCAGCGAGACAATCTTTGCGGTCCCTGATATGCTACAGTTCTATAATTCATCTGACAACATATCTTTCAAGCCAGAACTTCACCAGGGTTAAGTTAACTCAGCTTTGCTAGTTCCATATAAACTATTGCCAAGTTGCATCAACTGAGGCTTAGGCCCTGGTGTAGAAAACATGAGCTTACCTAATAACAAGGAAATAAATGCACCACTCCCTTACAGACAGCTTTCATTCATTTTTAAATAAATTTGCTTTTAATAAAAAGCAGAAAAATATATATTTATTTAAATATGCCTTTTAAAATTTCTTTCTTTAATTATTTTGATACACCACCCAGTGTCTGCATTTCAGAAACTCAGTGGCAAAACAGGCTTCAGCAGCCCTGTACACAGAGAAAGTAGGCCCAAAAGAAATTAGTATAGGGAGAAGAAGAAGAAAACCCATATATTATATATATATATAAAATATATATAAATGTACACACACATATATCACGGTATAATTTTTAAAAACACATATTAAGGCATGTAGAGGATCATGAAGGGATAACATTTTTATGAGCTAACAGAAGCTACTGCAAGAGCAGAATGAAATACTCTCATCATCATCTTCATCAATGTGGAATGTCAACAGTATTGCTAAAGGAGAAGGGTCTAAAACTCTGATTCTGATTTACGTATTGCCAACAGGTTCATTTAAATAATAAAAAGGAGACAGCATCTTTGTTGGACAGGGAGATAGAAAGTTTCACTTGTAAATATGGATGAAGCTGAACTCTTAGACATGCCAAGGCAGTGCTTCTTTTGCAGCAAGCAGCAGGATAGAGGACCCGATAAAGCTAGATTCCACATAGCAAGAGATGGGAACATTTATCACTTAAGCTTTTAGATCAGAAGGATGATTCTGGGTGCTGAGTTATTAATTCCTTTTAATACACATGGAGATAGATTCTTAGACAAATTCTTAAAAACAACAATATCAGAACTCTTCCAGAGATACTGTGCAGTTAACTTTCTATTTTCTGAACATTCATTTCATGTGGATAGAAAGCCTTACTATAAATACATTAAGGATTAAAGCCTAATAGAAATAAG